AAAAGAGGTATTTCCATGGGAAAGCCTGCTGTTAGGGACTTCTCTAAAGTACTCAAGAGCAACGGTGTGTCTCTAGAGACTAAGGTGCATCTGGTAAAGGCCATGGTCTTTGCAATCACTTGTTATGCATCAGAGAGCTGAACAAGGACCAAGGAGGATAGAAGGAGAATTGATGCTTTTGAGCTTTGATGTTGGAGAAGAGTGCTGAAGGTGCCATGGACTGCTAAGAGAATGAACAGATTCAACCTTGAGAGGTTTAAACTGGGCTGTTCCTTGGAGGCAAGGATTGTGAAGCTTCGTCTGACATGCTTTGGTCATGTTGTAAGGAAAAACTGGTCCTTGGTCATGCTTCGGAGGGTGGAGGGCAGGAGCAGGGGAAAAGGCCCTCTGGGAGATGGATTGATTCGGTGACTAGGGCAATCGTGATGAGTGTTTCCGAGGCAATTAGATTGGCACAGGACAGAGCACAGTTTCGGGCTGTTGTACATAGGGTTGCTATGAGTCACAAGCAACTCGACAGCACATAAAAACAACAACAACAACAACAACCATTTAGACACCAACTGAGGAAAACATTTGACACTTTGAGCACTGGTGAAGGGAGAATATATTATGCATGAACAAGTAATTGTCTTGAAGATGCAGAAAAAGAGAAAAAAATATTATCATAAGAGATTCAAGCATTTTCTTGAATAAGCTGAGATGAAAGAAGTAAATTGTGAAATAAAGGATAAATAGAAGAGTTCAGAAAACAGTTCAAAATTATGAAAGAAATTGTAAGTAAGTGTACAGTAAATAAATGTACAAAGACCTGGAGTTTGAAAATATAAATGAAAGGGAATTCTAAAAATTATTTGTGCTACAGGAACTTAAGAAAATAGTCAAGTCTTACAATGTAGGCTTGAATGATGCTATGAAAGATGCATGGAACATCAAAATAGTATGGAATAGATAAATACACAAAGTACTAAAAATAGTTGGTTAATAGTGAATCATTTCAGGTGGTAGAATGTGATTAAGAATTAATGGTATTGAATAACGAAGTCGAAAAGACACTAAAAAAGATTAACAAAAATAATTTCTATAGAAACAGGACAATGATGCCGAAAACACGATTTCTATCCAATATTGTATTGGAAGTACTTGCTAGGGCAATACTACAGGAGAAGAAAATAAGAAGCATCAAGATTGGCAAAGACATGGCAAAACTCTCACTATACACAGCAGATAGAATAGTATACAAACAAAACTCCAAGGACTCAATAAAAAACCCTGTGAGACCTAGTAGACCGATTCAGTAGAGTGACAGAATATAAGATCAATATAAAAAAAAAAAATCCATGGAGTTACTCTACAGTTACAAAGAAAATCCACAGAAGAAAACCAAGAAAACAATACCATTCATAATAGCCAATCACATTTATAAAGAAAACTTAAAAACACTAATGTGAAAAGAATGCTCCTTGTTCATGGATCGGAAGATTCAATATAGTGAAAATGGCAATCATACCAAAAGCAATCTACCTGTTCAACGCAATCTCAATACAGGTATCAAATTTATTTTTCAAAGAGAAAAGGTAATAGGCAAGTTCATTTGGGAATGAAAGACACCCTGAATAAGAAAAGTACTTCTAAAAAACAAAAATGAAGTTATGTACATAAAACTCCCTGATCTGAAAACCTACTACATCATTTTAATAACCAAGGAAGCACGGTAGTGTTGGTACAATGACATACAGACAGACCATTAGAACAAAATTAAGTCCCAGACATTAACCCATCTATCTACAGACAGCTTGTGTTTGACAAGGGAATAAAACCTATTAAATAGGGAATAAACAACCTCTTCAACAAATGGTGTTGGCAAAATTGAACTGCTACCTGTAGAAAGGTGAATCAGGATCCACTTTTCACACCATATACAAAAATCAAGTCAAGGGTGATCATGATCTTGGGGTAAAGCTCAAAACATTAAGACCATAAGAGACAAATGAGATGAAATTTACAGAGCCTACCCTCTAGTATATAAGGCTGGCAAATACAGCCAGAAATGCACAACCAGGGCAGGATAACGTCTCTGAAAGGGACCTTCTAAAAATTAAGTCCCTGTGTGGATCAAAACTTTTTCTGAAAGTTGAAAGAAAACAAACTGACTGTGAAAAACATTTGGCATTGACATCTCAGACAAGTGTCTCATAACAAAAATTGACAGATTATTACAGGGCCTCCACAAAGAAAAAGTCTTTTAACCCATTTAAAAAATGGACAAATATATGGATAGACCTTTCACAGAGAAAGACATTCAGATGGCCAACAGACACATGAAGAAATGTTCAAAATCACTGGCATTAAGAGAGATGTAAACCAAAACTACAGTCAGCTCCTCCTCAGTTTCAGCAAGCAGCATTGTATTATCTGCATAATGCATATTGTTGATGATTCTTCCTCCAATCCTGAAGCCACACGTCTTCTCATAGAGCCCAATCTCCCGGATAATCTATTCTGCTTATAGATTGAAAAGATATGGAGAGAGGACACATCCTCGGTGCACACCCCTTCCCTAATTTGAGCCATGCAGTGTTTCTTTGCTCTGGTCCTACAATTGCCTCTTGGTCCAAGTATAGGTTTCACATTAAGTACAATCAAGTGTTCTAGGATTCCCATTTTTCTCAGAGTCATCCACAGTTTGTTATGATCCACAGTCAAATGACTTTGAATAATCAAGGAAACATAGATAGACATTTCTACTGTACTCTCTGCTTTTAGTCAAGGTTCATCTGAACATTATATATAATATACCTAGTGGTATGGCATGTAAAAATGGAGGATAGAGGAAGGGATAAAAGGAGGGAGGGAGGAGAGGACAAATGAGGGAAGAGAAAGGAGGGAAAGAAAGAAGAGAAGAAGATAAAGGAGGGGAGAGGAAGAGAGATGTGAATATTTCCTGGGGAAATAGTCAGATGGCAAATGCCCAGGTCACAACAGTAACCACCATCAGCCTACATCTGCACCTTGTACTGGATCTGCATCCTGTGCTCTTGGCTCTCAGAGAGAGCTTTCTGTCTGAGTTCACACTGACTTACTCTCACTGTGTATCTTGCACAGTAATACATGCTGTGTGCTCAATTTTCAGATTGTTCATCTGGAGATAGAGCAAGTTTTTGGCATTATCTCTGGAGATGGTGAATCTGCCCCTCACAGAGCCTGTGTAGTATGTGTTACCATCAGCAGTAATTAATATATGATACCCACTGCAGTACCCTCCCTGGAGGTGGCGAAACCAGTTCATGTGATAGCTACTGAAGGTGAACCCAGAGGCTGCACAGGAGAGTCTCAGAGATGCCCCAGGCTGCCTCAGGTCTTCTCCAGACTCCAACAGTTTCACGTCACACTGGACACCTGCAAACACAGTGACATTCAAATCAGGAAAATAATTACACATGTGCATTATTTCAGTCATCCTGCTTAGATACACTTGCTCTCTAAAAAATTACCTTTT